TAACTAAAATCAGATCGTCGCTCAAAGCAATCAACAACTATTTACATCACTTTCTTTTTCATCCGTATGTCAGGATCTTCTTGGGCTGGTGTACTGGGGAAACGTGAGGCTCTTAGATACCCTGCAGATGTGTATCTAGAAGGTACAGATCAGCATCGTGGATGGTTCCAGAGTTCTTTGTTAACAAGCATTGCAACACAAGGTGATAATTGCACACCACGATGATTGGCTTATAAATTGAGATTATTCTACATATTTTAACTTTCTTGGCGTAAAGTGGCTTTTCATTTTTTTTTCCTTCACATTTTGCATATTTGTATAGGAAAAGCCCCTTATTCTGCTGTTATAACACATGGATTTGTATTGGATGAGAAGGGTATGAAAATGAGCAAGTCTCTAGGTAACGTAGTGGACCCACGTATGGTTATCGAAGGGGGGAAAAATTTAAAGGTTCGTCATTTATATAACAACCAATACTACTGTTTAAAACATCTTCGTTATCGAACCAATCTGTTTCCTGACAAGGGTTTGTCTTTTTATGCCAGGATGCACCTGCTTATGGAGCTGATGTTATGCGTCTTTGGGTTTCTAGTGTAGATTACACAGGGGATGTACTGATTGGTCCTCAGATTCTTCGTCAAATGTCTGATATATATAGGAAATTGAGGGGAACATTACGTTATCTCTTGGGCAATCTTCATGATTGGAGAGTAGGTTTCTAAGCTTTACATAGACTCCTCTTTCCCCACTTATCAAGATATCTTGCCTCTGTTTTATATCCTAAGGTTGGTGAAAATCTTTTAATTAAGTTGTGGCGGTTTGTAGGTTGATAATGCTGTTCCATACCAGGATTTACCTATCATTGATCAGCATGCTCTCTTTCAGCTTGAGAATGTTGTAAAGAACATACAAGAATGTTATGAGAACTACCAGTTCTTTAAAATCTTCCAGGTATCAAACCTCTCCATCTAATTTTGTGATAGTTGAAAAATAGTCAGTACAAGCAAAGTAGTCTCTTTAGATGTGTCACGTTTTCTGACTGTGTCAATTTATTTTATTTTCTTAAATTTGATATTGGAGAGAGGCCACATTAGCTGAAAAACAGGGTAAACCACTATATGGTCTACATAAGTCGTGTATGTATTCCTGTGCCTGTCACAGAAAAAATCCTGACATAGATTACCCTTACAAGAGTTATTTTATCGATTAGAAGTTTAAACATATCTAATAAAATTTCAATTCAGCAATTCATATCCATTGAGGTGAGGGTGATGTTGATGTATTTGCAATGGACGGCTGAACCTCAGGAGGCTGAATTTCATGTTCTAGATCATCTATGTTACTAAATGAGCTCTCTTTATTTCAGATCATACAACGATTCACAATTGTTGATCTGTCAAATTTCTACTTCGATATAGCTAAAGATAGACTGTATACTGGGTAAGTTTATCATCTTCTTTTTAGGTTGATATTTGCTGCAACCTATGTAGACCTTTCCTTAATAAGTCTGTGGTATTCAAGGTAATCTGAACCAAATATCTTTTTCTCAGGGGGACTTCAAGTTTTACCAGAAGAAGCTGTCAAACAGTTCTTTCAACACATCTTTTATCCATATTGAGAGTGATTGCTCCCATAGTACCTCACCTAGCAGAAGATGTCTGGCAGAATCTTCCATTTGAGTACAGAAATAAAGATGGCTCTGCAGCAAAATTTGTCTTCGAACTTAAATGGCCTACATTGAATGAACAATGGCTTTCATTTCCTGCTGAAGATGTCCTCTTCTGGCAAAGGCTTCTCGAGGTATCAAAACTCTCCTGCAAGTATAGCAGATATGCTCAGCAATTTTCCCCATCTTTACTCTCTACTCAACTTACAATTAAAGTAATAGAGTTCCTTAGCTACTTAGTGGAGATGAAGTCAATGAAATGTTACACAATATCAGAATATTCAACTTGATGTTATGTCAAGTTGATAGTGTAATCAAATCTTATGATATTGCATTATCGAAAGTTCTCTGGAAGAACATTTTCGTTTAATCTTTCTTTACTGGCCTATTCTTTCTCAAGACGACATTGACTTGATGCACGTTATATGTAGTGAGGATCTGAAAAATGTTTATGGTGTTTGTTTAACAGTTGAGGACCGAGGTGAACAAAGTGCTGGAGCTCGCACGTAATGAGAAAATGATTGGTTCCAGTTTAGAAGCAAAGGTGTATCTGCATACTGCAGATGCAGGCATGGCTACAAAATTACTAGAGATGAGTGAAGCAAAGAACGAGGCTGACACTCTGCAACGCATATTCATAACATCACAAGTAAGCACTAGATCTACTAATGTGCAAAATTCATATTCCAGTCATAGATCAATATAAATTAAAACCATTTCGGCCATCAACATACTGGGGCTTTCTGTGTAAGGTTCAGGTCGTCGAACTACAAGTAGGCTCAGTTGAAAATTATAGTCACTCATTAAGATTCATTACAGAACAGCTAAGTAAGACATTTTAGTGTAAATAGGATCTGGTTCTTTCTCCTCAGATTTTGTTATGTATTCTAGATTTAGTATCAGGATAAAAAGAGAAACGCTGAATGTTTATAAGATAAAAGGAAGACTACTTTTATAGCAGTAAACACAGTAGGGATTAGATCTATGGAAGAAATTCTCGAAACCCTCTAAATGCCTAAGAGATACGTATGAATGAATACACATATTGATCAAAAGGTTCCACCATGTTGTGCATTTTGTTATACTTTTATAATTATGATTCATCTGAAGTCATTATTATATACACTATTTTTTTTTTTATTACAATTGCGATTCGATCATAGTGAGTGCATTCCATGAGACTATAGCCATGAAACTGTTGTGGATGTGTATACAGGTTGAGGTATTGTCATCAATGAATGAGATAGTAAGCAGTGTGCAGCACACAGGAGAGTATGTGGATGGAGAGAACAAAGTGTGGATTGGTGTGTCACGAGCTGAGGGGTCCAAGTGCGAGAGGTGCTGGAATTACTCTGGCCAGGTCGGGTCATTCTCTGACCATCCAACTCTCTGTGGACGATGCTTCAATGTCATTGTTGCTAATCCTCCCAAGCCTGCAGTTGCAGCCGCAATCAGCTGAGCTTGAAATTGCTCTTATACTTTATAAGTTTCTTTGTCCATTGCACTGTATTCACATTCTCCGATTAATTTTTGTTTCAGTAAAATCAATAAATTACAGTTGTCATGAATTACCTAGGCCCAACTGCGGATTGAATAACAACTCCAAATTACTCATCTATTTTTTAAGGAATCTTTAGGCATGACATGAGCATAGTTTTTTTTTTTTTTTTTGAATGAATGTAAAATTTAATTCAACCCAAAAAAACTTTGTTCTTACAATATATGCAACTTTAGACTTAGAAAATGATTTATAAATCTAGCTTTTAGAAAATAGGCTGAGAGATTAGTATCTCGATGTCAACCATGAGCTGAAGACGTCCCCTTGGAGTGAGCTGCAACGGTTTCGGATGTGTCGATCAATGAGTTTAATGAGCTGGTCCGTAGGCTGAGGACTTTCTCCGTGGCGTCTGCTGTTTCTTTCCCGCCAAAGCGAGTGAATTGTAGTCTGAAAAGCATACCTTGTGACATATCGAACAGTTGGGGCAAGTTGAGTCCCTGAGATGAGAGAGACGACATCCCAGAAATGAGGAGTGTACTGAGCTTGCAATAGGCGAGATGTGAGATCATGCCATACTTGTGAAGAGTAGGGACAGGAGAAGAATAAGTGGTCACGGGTTTTCCACGGATCATTGCAGAGAGCACAACCGGATGAGATCCCTGAATTCCAAGCGCCCATCCGATCCCCTTTAGTTAGGCGGTTTAGAGTCGACAGCCAAGAGATAAAAGAGTACTTCGGGGTTGAGTTTGAAAACCAAATCCCTTTAGCCCATTAAATTGTTAAACCATTGTTGCGAATCTGAAGCCAAGTATCTTTTGTCGAGAAATGTGGCCTGAACTTGTCACCTATACTAGGCCATAGAGCCACGTCGGGAGCCGCACGTAACCCATTATGGAACTTGTCCAACTCATCTTCAATCTGATTTAAAAGCCCAACACGGTGATGTCGACGACGGTGTCGAAGAGCATCAACGATAGTTGCAGAACAGGTGATCCCAAAGTCTATAAAGCCCCTATCGCCTAGCGAGTCATGTAAAATGCCAAGGGAGCACCAGTTGTCAAACCAGAAAGAGGTAGTAAGTCTGCTGCGCACGTCCATACGACAAAACTCCTTGGCTTGAGATCGATATTTAAGCAGTTTCCTCCACATCCAAGAACCCAAAGTTGTAGTATTTGGAACCGACCAAAAATATTCATTCTGAAGTAACTCACGTTGGACCCAATCAACCCAAAGAGAATTTGCTGAAATAAGAGGCCAAATGAGTTTGAAACAACTTACTTTGTTGGCCTCGACAACAGACTTCAGGCCTAAACAACCCTCTTCTTTGGGTCGACACACATCTCGCCAAGCCACCTTTGCCTTTTTAGAGCTTAACTCAGGCCCAGACCAAAGGAAAGCTGAGCATATAGCTCCTATTTCTTTGATACAAGCACTCGGTAGACGGAATGCAGAGATCCAGAAGTTAGTCAAACTGAAAATCACTGAGCTTAGGAGTTGCAGCCTACCAGCATAAGAGAGGAAGCAGTTTTTCCAAGAACTGATGCGTGATCTGATCTTTTCAAGCAGAGGAAGACAGTCAGATAAAGACAGACGCTTGGTAAGCAACGGTAGACCCAAATATCGAACCGGTAAAGTTCCCAATTCAAAAGGGAAGCGGCGAAAAATATTAGCCCGGACTGTACTCGCAACACCTGCCAGAAACAAAGTGGATTTCTCCAAACTGATACGCAGCCCGGAGAGCTCAGCAAGAAACTCAATTAACCTGGCTATGCACCCCAAAACAGAGTGATTCATTTGGGTGTCCTCTTAAGAGAGGATCAAACTACATAGTTTAAATAGAGTCGAACCAGACATCAATATGCAAGATTTAATGTCTGAAAATTACGGGTCTAACATAAAAAACCAAACACAGTATAAAAACACGGATGGGAGCAACAGAAAGGTTCCAGTGTTGCTACAAGAATCTTTGTTCTAGTTCTTCTAGTTCTAGTTCTAGAGCTGAGCGTTTACGTTATGTTGTAGTAACTCTACTTCGTCCAAGTCATCACCCTGTGTATGTATGTCCTACACCAAGAAAATGTAAACACATGTTATAATTTGTAAAGCTGAGACTATACTTTTGCATAGATGCAATACTCAAAAGATTCGTGCTATAATTATGTCTGATGGTATATCACTACTGCGTATGATGAAGCACCATATGATTATAAAAAACAGTGATCATAACTTAATTGTTTAATCAAGACGATAACAAATGCTTACCTCCGGCTGAGCTTGTGGTTCCTGTGTAGGGTATACTTGCGGCTGAGACATTCGATAATAGGGCTCCTTCAGATCGAGTTTGCACGATGATGTCTGTAGTATTCCACCTTGATTGGCACCGGGTCCCCACATTTTAGCTGTTTACAAAGCCAATCAGAAACTGAAGTCGAAAGGAGATGATATGATTCATAAGAATAGATGTAAGAAAGCAAAATTGACCTGAGAGTGTTAAATTGATTGTGTAACTTTGAGCACTGTGGGCAACCAAATGAAGTCTACCAGTGAGCTCTTGCCCTGCCATGACATGAAGAGGCTGCGAGAGAACACATCTTATTTGGTACCAATGGGTTGTTGGTGCACCAGGAGCCGTTGTGAACCATCTTTGAACAGTGCTGTTGGACAGAGAGCAAATAAAGTTTGTATTGAATAACTTTGATGTTAATAAAAGAAGAATATTAATCTGAAGTATATGATGAAAACATATATATATTGTTATGGATTCATACCTCCCATCAAAGAGAACGTCAAACCAGCACGCAAGTCCATGCACTCTGGTACACAATGAAGCTGTGAACTTTAACGGGATATCAATCTCGTAAAATTGTTCTTCCTGTGAAAATGAATTGAAGGCTAGATAAGTTTGGATCATGTCATTCACCAAACACGGAAGAATGCACATAGATATTCTATTGATGTGAATAGTATGACAGAAAAATGTCCTCAATGTTAAGAAACACTGTGGAACTGAATCTCACATAGAAAATAGTTATACCGTCATTTTAGTGAAATCTATCACATGAGACATCGAGGGAGCCACCAATAATCTTGGATCAAATGCATCAACAACGGGCTACAAAAATCAGTGAAATGGTAAAATTGTAAAGGTGAGACAAGCAAAACTTAACTGTCGATTCACTGGTCTAAATCTATATACCTGGGAAAAATAACCCTGGTGGGCTGACACGTAGAGAGGTGTCAAATCAACTCCATAATAGTTCTGTTGCTGCCAAAACAAAGCCTGCATAGAGGTAGAAAACCTAATTACTGAAAGCTTTAACCATCACATATTAAATTCAACCATTCCTTTAGATGTCATAAGCAATCTTAGATATATTTCCTGATCAGATGTGCATTACATACCTTATTTGCCATTTCAACAAATAAGAATTCATCGGCGAAAGGTGCCATATGGATCCTACAGTGACAAAATTACATGAAAAAGAAGACGTGTATGAGATAGAAAAGTCAAACTATCGAAGATCAATTTTACCTTCCAACTGTTGGGAACATTTTTCCGCCTGGCGACAGAAATCGGTCCCTAGCAATAACATATGTCTCCAACATCCTCTCATTGACCAATAGGGTGCCTACAGGCACACATATTTTATATATAAGACATGTGCTTTCAAACGGATCACTACAACTTTAAATCAGTGTATTGATGTTTCTCCACTTATTTTCTCACAGACCAAAATTTGCCTTCTAAAAGATTCTTATTTTCATAAAGAGCACGTGGAAAGAATCCTTCTATGAAACACATACCCATTGGTTCAGAGATCAAAACATCAGCCTTCTCAGGCAACTCAATATCCTCAATCTTTCCCTTGATGACCTACACTTGTGCCAACACAAAGAACATCAGAAAAATGGATATATGTGGAAAAATTTACTAACAAAACTGGACTACAGGTCTTAACTGTGATCCTTTCAGCAAGCAATGGGTTTCCAGCAATCAGCTTACGGGCATATTCAGCCATTTCTGATGCTTCCACAGCATACACATGCTTGGCCCCAGCCTAAATTAAGGGGAAAATAATGGACGTCTGTAAGGAAAACAATTTTTTTTCCAGATCTATAGTAAATCTAATACCTTTTTAGCCCAAAGTTTATTAAATTTTTCCATACCAGTGCCGCAAACAATGACAAAATGCCACTTCCAGCACCCACATCTACAACAACACGACCAGCAAAATCTGAACGATTCTCCATGACTGCAGCATGATATGTACCTGAAGACAGTAACATGACATATAAAGAGCTATCATGGGTCAAATAGCAATGCAGAGAAATTAAATATATATTATCTTCTGATGGATGTCCTCCCAAACCAATAAAAAATAGTCGAAAACAAATCTCTGAAGTAACAGATGCAAAAAAGGCAAAGATCTTACCTGTCCTCACGTAATCCTGTAGCATGTTTTGCTGATGTAAAAGCTGTCCATAATAATGGAAATACATTTTGGCTGAAGCAGCCTCTATCTTATCATCAAACTTGCTTTTATTAACTGAGACTGTTCCATTCGGCAAGGTTGATCCTAGAAACAAAAAAGAACAGGAAGACATCAAAGAATGAGTACGAACAACAGTCATGAATGCATTGTCATCAATGACAAGGGGCTTTGGTGAACGATACCACTAACAGATAACCAATTCCTTTAAGATACGATAAGAGGAAACCTTTGTAAACTAAATTAATGAAGAGCAAACACATACACATTACTTGTAAGGTCAAATACATCTGAAAACCTATTTTTCAAGAACCAACAAGAAAACAATTTGAGATAGTCACCTTGCTTAACAGCATCCTTTGTCCATTCCTCAAACGAATCACAAAACTCCTTGCTTTCCTTGTCATCTCTAAATTTTATCACAACTCCTCGAGAGAATGACTTCTGGTTAAAACACATCAAAAGGAGAAAAATCAGATACACACCAATTACTAATACCAATCAGAAGCAACTGAACAAAAGATATTTTCTCACATACCTCCTCCTTAGCCGAAGAAATCGAACTATCAGATACAAAAACGAACTGAAGCGGCCCCAACTTGAACAACTAAGCAACATAATATGAAAATACAATACAAATGAGTACACTTTCTCAGAATCTGTCTCCAATTACGCAAACCTAGCACACTTATAATTCGATTATCCAAACTAAAACATAAAAACGTTTCCTTTGCTACTTAATCAACCACAGAAACGAGATTGAAATAGATTCTTGAAGAGGAAGAAAAGCAAATCGAGAACAAACCTGAGTCGAACTAAGATCAAAACTGAAACCATGGGCCGATTCAGATTCCTGAAATCGGAGTTCCTTGACTTCACCATCGCACGAAAACGAAGCTACGACGGACGAAGACGAAAGAGATGAGTCAGGGGAAGTGAGATCAGTGACGGAAGCCAAAGTGAACTCCATTGTTTCGAGAATACACAACGAATGTATATATGTATAGATACAGTATGTGCTTATGTATTGAAGAATCAAAAAGAGAGCTTTTAGGGTTTTTGATTTCTGAGGAGAGCTTTCGCGAGCTCCGACGAGAAGAGAGAAGAGAGAAGAGCAAGAAAAAGAGCGGCCAAAGCCAAAGGAAGTGTTTTTGTGAGGGGAAAGGGATACGAAGAGTGGTGATTCTGTAATTTTAAAGCACTTTTTTAATCTCTTCTTCATTGGATTTTTTGGATTTTTATATGACGTGGCATGTGTTCATTGGTCGGATGAAGCTAATGTAAAATTACTCTCCACTAATTTTTGACTTTTGCGATTCTGATGATAATTCTGGTTGGTGTTAAGTGTTAATTCAGTTCCATTTATGAATGTTGGGTACCCTAATTTTTTTTTGGTCACATGAATAATTCATAAAAGGATTCAGATTACGTTGTTAGATTACAAACATTTAATTCATCGAGAGAATGTAAACAGACAATAATCTAAAGTCAAAGAGTTAAACTAAGAGCTCAAAAAAAAAGAACTTGCCCAAATTATCACCCATACCAATGTGAGCAAAGCTAGCCACAAAGGACAACTTGCGTCTATCTTGCAGTTAACGAGACCTCCTATTATGCAGCCAGGGTACCTCACAAAGAAATTAAACCTAGACTTCATATCCGACAAGAAAGGCAAGGAACACAAAGAACAATTCCCATAAATCTTTTGGAATGGCGATGTTGTAAACACGACATGTTATTGCCTCGATAAAAGCCATGAACAGAGCATACCTCGATCAGGTCTTGAGAGTAGAAACGAGGAGTGAAACAAAACCTCAAACCGGGAAACACTAAACTCCGAGAAGAGAAGCACACAATCGAACCGAAGAGATCAAATAAAGCTCAACAATGAACATCATCAAGAGCAGCAAGAGAACGAAAACCAAAGAGCTAGCAAACTATGACCTCAGCCTAACAACAAGGGACATGGAAGTAAGACAGTCATACCACAGTTTCAGATTACCCGTAGAACCATAGCCTAAACTGACCTACACTAAAACAGAGAGATTTATACGACCCTGAAAGACAACCTAAAAAGCCAACCAAAGACACTATGAAAGACGCCGATGTCGGAGAAAGAGCCGGCCAAAAACGCTAGAGAAGCCGTCGATGTTGGAGGAAAAGCTGACCAACAACGCTATGAAAGCCACCGATGCCAGACACAAAGCTGGCCAACGACGCAAAGAAAGGCGCCGATGCCAGAGACACAGCTGACCAACGACGCAAAGGAAGCCGCTATGCGAGGAGATACCGACCAAATCAGATCTGAGAAATCCAAATCTAAGGAAAACCTCTAAACACAAACACCACACCAATAAACACCAATGGACTCACTAAACTTGTAGAACCAAAAGAGAAACTTTTATCAACTCTCCCCTCACAGATCTGGCGCTGACGCGCCTTCACCGGAGAGGAGAAGAACCAGCGGCTACCCTTTGCTTTTTTTTTTCTCTCTCGGAGCTCTTTCAATCGTGTTTCAAACTCGTTTTTATTTGCTAAATTCCTTGGTGCCCTAAATTATCTAAGTTGAACACTTGAGTTATTTTGTCAGATATATAAATGGAATATTGTTGGGGTTTGTTTAAATATGATTTTTACTCAGTTCTCGGATTCGGGTATTCGATTCGGATTTTCTAACATTCGGATATCAAAACTATTATCCAAATGATATTTTTGGAAGAAAAAAACGGTTTGGTTTTGGTTCATTTTCGGACCTTGAACAAGAAATCGATCTAAAATATAATTATTTTTGGTATTTTTTTTCCGGTTCTAACCAAATTTTTTGGATTTTTTGTGATATTTCAAGTATTTTATCGGATATGTTCGGCATTTTTGAATATTTTTAGATATTTTTGGTTTGGCTTCGATATGGATATTTGGATATATTGAATTTTTTGGGTTTTCGGTGTGATTATTCGGATATTTTTATATTTTCAAAAAAAATTAGTTTTGTTTTTAAAAAAAATCTAAAATAACTGATATTTTTTAGGTGTATATAATTGTATTTTGGATATTTCGAATATCCATTTGATTTTGCCTCGAACTCTGTTTGGTACAGTTTAGTTTAAGATCTTTAATATAAGATCCATTCGGTTTTTAGTCAAAATATGATTCGGTTTCAGTTTTTCTAATATGGTTTTCGGTTTGGTTTTTTCGCCTAAGACTAATTTATACAGAAGAAAACATTATAATTAAGAAACTTGTATAGAAATTTGACACTTTGCCTGTCTGCTTAAGAGAGCAATATAGTGTATTCTAATCAAACACTATATAAATTTGATTGTACAGAGAAAGGTAGAAATAGAATACAGACGTTAATAGCTTAATATAAAACTATATTACTAATTTTTTTTTGATAAAACTATATTACTAATTAAGGCATTGGTGTTTTCTAAGGCTATTTCACTTACTACTACTCCACCAGGATCTTGCATCAAATCTCTTCACCATCAATGCAAGCTGAAAGAGGAATCCGGATCAGAGAAATCGAAGAAGAAGAATCAACAATCCAAATTCATCTCATGGCAGAAATGCTAAACTGATTTTCAATTTGAGTGAGATGATAGAGCCATGGGGCTTTGCACATATGCTCAAAGGCCATACAAAAACTAGAATTGTTAAAACTCTATTCCTGAGAGCTGATCAGATTTAACACAACCAAGTTTCATCAATAGATCACACAAATACTAGTTAAAGGGAAAGGTATAGAGAATGTTTTATTACCTCCACAGCAGAAACAGCAGTAGCAGCAAGAAAGAACCATGGCAACATCTTTGCAAACAAGAGCAAACACACCACCAGATGAAATCTCAGGGCTGCCTGGTTCTTTGTCGCCTTCAAGCAGTTTCTGCTGATTGCTTTGGCTTTGTTTCCCACTGTTCATCCTTTGGAATCTCTTCTGGCTAGTACTCTTGAATGAGTTTCGAAGTTTTAATGATGGCCACAGATGCATCTCTTCTAAAAGTCGATAACACTAAAGCACTTCTTGGCCAGGAAAGCACACAGACAGAACAGTCTTCTATGATGTCAGAAACACCTCGATCTCTGGTTAAAAACTGGCAAAGATACCAACTTAAGAGAAAGAACAAAGAAACAATTTTGACACTAAAAGACCAAAGAGATATACAAAAGCAGGCAAATCTCAAATCCTCACAAGAACTATATGTGCAAGAAAGGTTAATTCAACAAAGAAAACACATGTAAAACTCTACAGATATAGTCACCAATTTGCTAACTTCAACACCAAACTCAAGGGACAAGGACATGGAATTCACTGTTTATGCTAGAAATTGCTAAATCCCAACTGAACTCACAGACATAAGAAATGACGATGGAACCTGAAAATTATTACCAAACTTGACAAAAGTTTCAATTCTTGTATTATTTTTTTTCTGCGGAGAAGCAAAGATCCACAAAAAGATAATTTGGACCACACAAACTGGTCTGAGAAGATATTTAGCGAAACCCCAAAAGCAAAAATCCAAACTTGATCAACTCAAATTCAACGAAAGCGAAATCAAAAGCTGATGAAAAGGCGAAGATTTGGGGATCTAACCTCTATGCTCTCTATCCAAGACTCAGCAGAAGATATTAAATTCTTATGGCGGCACACGTAACGTACTAGTAGATATTCTTATTTTTAATAGTCTTTTGTTTTTTTGTATACTAAAAAAGATTCCATCTTTTACTCTCAATACGGTTTTTGGGGTTACTCGATCTATCATTGAATGGAACAAATAACAAAAATATCTACGAAAACAAAATACTCATGTGAGGATTTAACCATTACCTTTGATGCTATGCTAGGGACAACTGCACAAGCTACAAGGATACTAATGGATATCAAGAAATTATAAAACTTAAACAATATAGAAAAATTCACTATACAACTCGAGCAAATCGGGTTCATACAAAATTAACAATGGTTGCAGTATCTTTCACCTAATGGATATAGAAAGAGATTTGAGTGAAAAAAACCCATTGTTGAGTTCAGATCAAGTCAATTTGGCCAGATTCGATTGCTCCTTTTACGATCTTGTAACGTATAAAGTAGAGATCACCGCGCTCCATCTCCACAGTCTCAGGGCTCTCTCCTCTGCCAAATAGTAGTTAACCCACATTTAGTTAATGGTTGTGTATGTGTATGAAGGAATAAGGTTAAGGAGTGAAGAGAATTCTCTTACTCTTCATATAGATTGAGGGAGACAAAGTTCTTGCTTTTACACACAACAAAGGTATCCAAATGGGGCTGCGGCACTGTAAGAACACAATTAGTATCATTGCTACTTACTGTAAATGGAGTGTTTAACTATAGTGACAATCTAATCAACTGGTATTATGGTTCGATGTGATTAAGTTTAGGGAGTTACCCATATCATCCACTTCACTTATAAGGGATTGCTTGAGAACCGACTGATAATTCTCGGGCAACTTAAGCAGTACACTCTCTTCGAAATGCTTTGCCAAATCATCAGCACACCTGTGAATGTGATCATTCAAATATATGTCAACCAACATCAGCCATTAACAGAATTTTGTAAAAATAAAGTTCAAAGTCTGAATCTCAAACAGATAATCTTAGAAGAAATGCCTAGGCTAACTGAGGTTTTCAATTTCCATGAACAAGAGTTATATTCATTTGAGGGTTCAATCTATCCGATTGGGCACAACTCTAAGTTGTAGAGTGCTAGACACATCTCTTACACTGTCTATTCCACACATATTCTACACCAAACCTATGATATTTACTACCACAGAAAAAAATACAAAGCTTTACAAGAAAGAAGACAAACCTTGTAGCAAACACTTTCTCTTGCTCAGAAAGCTGCCTTTCAGCTTCTTCTGATTTGAGATTGTGAAACATAAATTTCTCTATCTGCAACAATCAAAAGAATACCATCTAATCTATATAGACAACATGAAAGCAAAGTGTACTATGTAACATTACACTCCCTAAATCACAAATCTCAATGTAACATTACACTCGCTAAATCACAAATTTCTTTACAGCAAACACATTTGACACTTGAAAACAACGCTGCTATGCTCAGAATTAAACTCGTGGCAATGGAAGAAAATGGAGATAAGGTGGAAAAACAGGACACACCTTGAGCAGCCTAACCCTGAGATATGATCTGAGTAGAAACTGGGTTCTGTCCAAATCCATCTGGTAAAGAGAAACCACCAAAGGGTCTATACCATTTTCCACATAATCGTCAATTGTTTCTTCCTGTAATTACAAAACTTCCAAAAACTGAGACTTTCCAGAATTTTAGATGTATCTTTTTCCACTAGTAGAAAATGCAAGTGACATATACAATCACTAACACTAACCAAGTTCGATTTTTATATAAAAGCTAACATTTTTAAATATGGTGATGGAAGGCTTAATTAGGGTCATGTAACAAACGATTACTGATTTAGTGGTTAATTTACTGGGAAACTCAACACAAAAATTAGGGTTAGAGGCAATTTGTATATTACCACTAATTCGATCTGCTCTTTGGCTCTTTGGACAAGAGCTCCTTCGTACTGAAGAATCTCCGGCGCCGCCTTCTCGTTACGCCACGCCCTCTTCAATAGCTCAACGTCCGATGTCGACATCATTGTTTCGTAATCCGCCGACGATTCCCCCTCTTCCGAATTCGACGCCATTAGATCAATTTACTCAATAATCTCTCTCTGCTTGAAGATTCCGATCATATTAAATCCGGTCGAGCGGGAAATAGAAGAAACATGGGACTGCAGATTTGGCGCCAAAATTAAGGTCGACAAACAAGGATTTAGGGTTCATCGGAGTGAGCCTTCTACTGATGATTTATTCGGTTTAGCTATTATGTAAACCGTAAAGAAATTGAAATAATTTTTGGTTTTGTCTCGAATATCGGTCCGACCGGTACAAATTTGGTTTTCTTCTCTTAAACTCTCTCCCTCTCAGGATCAAGAACGTCCCAAGGAGAACGCAGATCAAGAAGATACAGACACAAGTTAACTCATGAAACATTTTGTTTTGTAACTGTTTACTCCAATGGCTTAGATATTACAGCAAAGCTCGAAGCATCTCTCAGATCTTACATCAACCGAAATCACCATTGAGGTGTAATAAGTCTCAGAACCTCTCTGTTTCCTATTCATGTGTGTGTGCCATTGAAAGCTTTGATAAGCTCTAATCTCAAAACCATTCATCATCAGGCCTTTGAACAAGTTTAAAAGCTTTCTAGACACTTATCACTTTTGTCTTCTCTGTAATCTTGACAAAGAAAGCCAAGTAGTGAACCTTTCTATTAGATAAGATACAGCGTCTAAGCAAAGCACAAAATAAGCTATAACCATCAAAGGTGTTACAACCCAAATGATGTCTATATAGCATTCAGCTTATTAGCTATAACATTTCAACACATAATTATCCGAAAAAATGAGATTTCATACCAAGAAAACATAAAGATATGTCGTGGTCACATACACAAAATCAAATAGTAGCAGTAAGAGCATCCACAAATAGATAATTTCTAGGAACTGTAAGCACAACATCGAGCCACTCGACTTTTCCCCAAACCTCTTGAACTATTATTGCGTCTTTCAAGGGAAACCACCGCGCACCAAATCGTCTTACGCTTGTCCCAAAAGACCGCTAGCTTTCCACCATATTCCATCATGTGTCCAACAAACTTAGGCAATCCTTTCAAACCCCTCAAATTTGTCCAGAATCTTTTCTCTAAATCGAACCATTTGATTCCGCCTCCCCTACGATAACAATAGAGTATGTTATCTATCACGCAATGAGAAATCCCTCCAAGAAACATTTTTTCTACACTTTTCCATCTAGCCTCTTCAGGTTTGTATGATACACCCTTCTCCCCAAACATGTAGATTTCTCCTTCAATCACTGCACTCCTGAGCATATACAGATTCAGGTGAGCAGGAGGGGTCAAAACAGACTCCCAAGTTTGAGTCTTTGGATCGAAAACCTCCATCCAATTGGAGGAATCCAAGTCTTCCAACTCCAAGCCTCCTGCTACATAGATCTTTCCATTAACAACATTAACAGCTGGGAGATGCCGCTTCATCCGCATGCTTGGAGCCTCGTGCCACGTATGAAACTGGCAATTTAGGAATGAGACGCTAGACGAAGGTGTATACTCAATGAATCCGCCAATGGCATAGATAGTAGAGCCAACCGCCACGAGACTCTGACTTCCATTAAGTGAATGGTGAACTGGGATTGGGACCAATACATACCCACTTGATGACTCCTTTTTCTCGGTGATCTTGGCTAGGGTTCGATTAGGTTTTGGAACGAGAGTGAACCAACGTGAGCTAGGCTCGCATAGGAAGTCTAAGTACACATAGAGACAACTCTCCGTTCGGTTTAACAAAGACCGAGTCTTGTAAAGATCCGGTGAAGCAACGAGGGATCGAAAGCTCTTGGAGACTAAGGAGAAATTTGGGTAGTATAATCTCGATACGCGTGTGAAGCAAGTCAATAGCAAATCATAAGGAATCAAGCGATGGAACTGGAGTCGATTCCGTCTTCGTTGTCGGCAACAGTTTGTTCGCCTCCTTTGCCGTCGTCTTGCTCTTCTTCTTAGGGCGCAACATTGTCGAGAAAAATTCGCTGGCGGCCAAACCTACAGATTTCTTATAATTCTCCACTGACTTGCACAGCAAGCAAACAAATTCAAAGTCTCGAGCGCTTAAGAAACATCGACAGTGGTTGTATATGCTTAAAAGGGAGATATATAGCTTTAATCATCAGACTACAAGTGAGTGCATATGTTAAGAAGTGAAAATGACAAATTAGGTAAAAGAATAATATTCAACTTGTATTTCTTGGACCTTAAGGTCTTATATTTATACAAACTTACAAAGCTAAAACCCTAATATGATAAGGTTAAATTTACATAAACATTATCTACAATATTAGGAAAATATCCTCAATACCCCCCCTCAAGTTGGAGCATGTAGATTGTGAATGCCCAACTTGAAAAGAAAGACATCAAATTCCTTGCGTCCTAAGGCCTTTGTAAGAATATCCGCAAGTTGAATCGTCGTAGGCACATAATTTGGTTTGACAACGCCTTTAACAATTTCATCACGGATAAAATGACAATCTCGCTCAATATGCTTAGTCCGCTCATGGAAAACCGGATTAGAACTGATGTGAAGAGCAGATTTGTTGTCACACTTGATAGACATAGGTTGAGAATGATCAAACCCAAGATCTTGAAGAAGCTCCTTCAACCATTTCAGCTCCTTAGTAACTTCACTCATGGCCCGATACTCAGCTTCAGTAGAGGACATCGCCACTGTGTCTTGTTTCTTGGTTTTCCAAGAAATTGGAGATGAACCAAGTTGCACAAACCAACCCGTAAGCGATCGCCGTGTTAGCGGGCAAGACGAAAAATCAGCATCACACCACCCCGTGATATGAAATGGAGAATTAGACCGTAGAAGAATGCCTTGGCCTAGCGTGCCTTTAAGAAAACGAACAACCTGGAGTGCCGCAAGCCAATGTGCCTCACGAGGAGCGTGCATAAACTAAGAGAGAATGTGAACTGGATAGGTAAGGTCAGGACGCGTAGCCAAAAGATAAATCAAACGTCCAACTAGGCGTCGATAGGGCTGAGGATCTGGGAGCTCGAGACTCTTAGTGAGAGCAAGTCGATGATTTTGTTCAATAGGACAGCCAGCAGGACGACAACCAAGAAGACCGGTTTCCGTAACAATATCAGTCGCATACTTGCGTTGACAAAGATAAATCCCCTCTTGACTACGTGCAACTTCAATACCCAAAAAATATTGTAAAAAACCCAAATCCTTCATGTAAAAACACACCGATAAGTGTGCCGCAATCTCACTCGGGGAATTTCCCGAGATTATCAAATCATCAACATAAACCAAGATGCGTAGAGAAACACCATTCCTTGAGTAGATGAATAAGGAATAATCAGATCGTGTTTGAGAAAAACCATACTTAAGGAGAGCATCCACAAGTTTAGAGAACCAACACCGAGGGGCTTGTTTTAAACCATATAATGATTTACGTAGACGACAAACCCGTGTGTCACCAGGAGAAGAAAAACCTTGTGGAATTTTCATGTAAACCTCCTCGTCAAGATCACCATGGAGAAAGGCATTATGAACATCCATTTGATGGACCTCATGATTCTTTTTAGAAGCAAAATCAAGAAACATGCGAACAGTAGTCATCTTTGCAACCGGAGAAAACGTATCATTGTAATCAATTCCTTCCGTCTGATGATTGCCAAGAACCACAAGACGAGCTTTATGACGTTCAATAGTACCATCAGAACGAAGCTTGATAGTAAACACCCATTTACTACCGAGAGCTTTCTTGTGAGGAGGTAATTCTTGGAGATCCCATGTATGATTACGTTGTAAAGCATCCATTTCCGAGCCCATGGCTGACTTCCAAACTTCATATTTCATAGCCTCGTGAAATGACCGTGGTTCAATATGAGTCGAAAGAGCCACCAAAAAACTGCGATGATTAGTGGAAAAATAATCGCACGTATCATAGTCAGAGATAGGATACAACACACCTGAGGAGAGCTGAGGCGCTGGTGATGAAGGAGAGGGAGAGAGAGTACTATCGACCGTTACTGTGCCAACATGATAATCGTGAAGGCGAACATTAGGTAACTTAACTCGCTTGCCTTGTCCAAGTTCTGCATTCTCAGGAGCAAGCAAAGAAGTTGCAGTCGGGGTTGCAAGGTCTGGTTGTGGCAAAGACACAGTCACCGGCGGAACAAGAGGAGGAGATGACGAATCAACCGGTGGAGAACTATCCCCTACAACAGATGTGGCCGGTGTGGGTGAAGGAGGGCTAGAATCATCGGGTTGGTCATCAACCAAGGCCGCAACATCGTCAGTAATACCTTGGGTCGGAGGTGTAAGTAGAGGAACCACCGAGGAAGAAGAGACATGTTGAGCAAAAGGGAAGACGTCTTCTCGGAAAATAACATCCCGAGAAACAAAAATGATCTCTCGGTCAAGGTCGAACAGCTTCCACCCTTTCTTGCCATAGGGGTAGCCGAGGAAAACACATCGACGAGTACGAGAAGCAAATTTGTCGCCGCGACTGTCAATGTTATGGGCATATGCAAGACAGCCGAGAACTCGCAAATGTGTAAAAGAAGGAGCGTGTCCATAAAGCTTCTCAAACGGAGTCAAGCCATGAAGGAGAGGTGATGGTGTTCGATTAATAAGATAGCCCGCAGTAAGAATACATTCACCCCAATAATCAATTGGTAAAGAAGCTTGAAACCGTAGAGCCCGGGCAACATTTAAGATGTGGCGGTGCTTGCGTTCCACACGGCCATTTTGCTGTGGAGTGTAGACACAAGATGTTTCATGTAAGATGCCTTGTTCTTGAAAAAACCGTGTTAGACACATAAACTCCGTCCCATTATCACTTCGTACGGATTTCACCTTCTTAGAAAACTGTCGTTCAATCATAGTAAAGAAATCGCGGAGATAGCGAGACACCATAGATTTATCCGAAAGGAGATATAGCCAAACTGCTCGGGAATGATCATCGACGATTGTCAAAAAATAACGTGAGCCACAAAATGCGGTGGTGCGGTAAGGACCCCACAAATCAACATGAATCAAATCAAAAACTGCTTTTGCATTATTTGAACTGTCGGGAAAACATTGTCGAGTTTGTTTTGCTTGTAAGAAAACATCACAATTTCTAAGTAAAAGCTCATTATTATTAGATAAAGGACGAACACCATGAATCATGCCGGTAACACGTGAAGAAGGATGCCCTAGACGCCGATGCCACATAACCGATTCATCACTGACCCGAGTTTGAAGAGCTGACATTGTCTCGATCCCACGAAACCGGTACAACCCCTCTCCCTCTCTTTCACCGGCACCAATCAGCATCCTCGAGGTGCGGTCCTGTAAAATCATAAGTTTGTCGGTTACTTGTCCCACCAAAAAATTTGTCGTAACAAGTTGACCAAAAGATATCAAATTGGTATGAAAGCCTTTAATAAAATAGACATGGTGAATGGAAAGGGTCGAAGTTAGACGGATAGTGCCCTGTTGGGAAGAGATGACATTCTCCCCAGCAGGTAATAAGACTGAAACCGGGGCAACATCGTGTAAATCCTCCAAAAGATCAAGTTGACCCGTCATATGGTGCGTTGCTCCGGTATCAAGAATCCATATAGGTCCGTTAATCTTACCACTTAGTTTCTCAGTTGTCTTTTCTGAATTCACCACCCGACGGATGAGCTGCCATTGATCATCGGTAATACCAAGAAGTCCTTGTCGATCATTTTCTGAGATCTCCGGTGAAGCACCAACAGCAGCAGTGTTGGCATTGAGAACTTGAGTAACATTGGCCTGTGGAGGTTGACCACGACCACGACCAGTAGACGTCGCTGGGGAGTTTCGGTTGCGAGGGCGTTCTCCCCACCATTCAGGAAAGCCAAGAATTTTAAAACAAGACGCTGCTTCATGCCCCATTCGTCCGCACGCAGTACACTTACGAGATGGGTCACGATTTCCTGGTCCAACACGAGAAGAACCGGAGTAGCTTGTGTAAGGGCGAGAGCCGTCGTGTGTGGAAACGGTAGTAGGTCGATGTGATGAATGTGGAGAAGACAGCTGCGAGGCAAAGCTCATGACTGGCACCTCAGGAGCAACGTTCGATCGGATCGTCTCATTCTGAGTAATGGTTTGATACACTGTGTCGAGATCCGGAAGAGGAGTGATAGCACAAATCTGAGAACAGATAGCACCATGAGTAGATTCATCGAGTCCAGAGAGAAAATCATGAATGCGAAGAGTTTCAAGTTCCTTCTCACGAGCTGTATTAAGATCGCATTCACACTTGCCACAGCTACACTGTTTCGAGTTCATACAGTCCGAGATTCCATCCCAAATAGTTGTCAAGCGACCAAAATACTCATTAACGGTGGACCCGTTCTGTTTGCAAGTGGCCAGAGAATTGCGGAGTTGTTGAAGACGAGCACCACTCTTGAGAGAAAACCGTTTCTTAATTAGCTCCCAAAGATCCCGAGCAATTTCTCTTGTCGAAATAGTGGAACGAAGTTTTGGCTCAATAGTCTGCTTGATCCAGCCGACCAACAAGTGATTGTTTGCCGTCCAATCTTCAAATTGAGGTGAGTCATCTGCTGGTTTAGGAATACTCCCATCAAGAAAGCCAAACTTCTTCCGTGAGTTAAGAGCAATTCGAAGGTTAAGAGCCCACTCGTCATAGTTTAAACCATTGAGAAGAGGTTGAGAGATCACCGCTCCTGGATTATCACTAGCCGTGAGATCATAGGGAGAAATTGTTTTGTGTTGCGAAGTCGGTACGGCCAACGACATATGAGAAGAAAGAAGTGAGAACAAAGAAAGTAATGAAAGAGAAACAAAGTGCTCTGTTTTGAGAATCAAAAACAGAGGAAACCAACAAGCAAAGACAGATCAAAGAGAAAAGCCGAGAGGCAAGAGGAAAAAAATTGAGAGAGTTGAAAGCGAGGGCTTGATCGATTAAAGAGGTTCGTGCTCTGATACCATGACAAATTAGGTAAAAGAATAATATTCAACTTGTATTTCTTGGACCTTAAGGTCTTATATTTATACAAACTTACAAAGCTAAAACCCTAATATGATAAGGTTAAATTTACATAAACATTATCTACAATATTAGGAAAATATCCTCAATAGAAAACAATGTCCGCTTAAGGCACAAGACAATACAAACACATCACAGTAGTCACATATATTTAGAGACGTTTTTGCAACGGATACAATTCAGAAGCAAAACTACATTACTCGCTAGTCTCATGAGTCATTCATCAAACAGTAGCATAAAGAATTTGGGATCAAAGCGGCATTAAACAAATAATAAGCTTATTCATCTTCAAAACTGACTCCAAACAATGTCAAAATCTTACAATTTTCCATCTTGTTCTTTGTATGTTCTTCAAAGAAACTCACAAAAATAAGAAAATAAGAAGCCAGTGAGTAAGCAAGAACATATCAATTGCATTACGCTTAAACCACAAAACATTCCTTCATTCGTGACATACTGAAAAACAAAGAAAGCTACATAACGTTTTAACCTCAGTCAAACAGTAGCGGAAATAGCACACAAGAATTGAGACTTAGGGACTGTTAGAACCACATCGAACCACTCAACCTTCCCCAAAACCTTTTCACTGTTACGTTTCTCAAGCGAAATCACTGCACACCAAATCACCTTCACCTTATACCTACTTGCAGGCACATACTTATCCCACAAAACAACAAGCTTACCACCATGATCCACTAATCTAACAGAACTATAACCAGCAAACGTTGGCAATCCTTCAAGACCCTTCAGTTTAATCCAGTATCTTACCTCAGAGTCATACCACATGATTCCATCTTGACGATTCCAACAATATATTACGTTATCAATCACGCGATATGAAAGCCAACTTCGTCCTAATATATAATACAAATTCTCTTCTGTAATCGCTATCCATTTATCTTCTTTTGGCTTGTAAGCCATATCCTTTCCCCCAAACAAGTAGATTTTTCCTTCAATCACGAAGCTCTTGTGTATACTACAACATCTCATATCAAGAGGGCTACAAACAAGTTCCCAAGATTGAGTCTTTGGATCGAAAACCTCCATCCAATTTGAGGATTTAGAGTCTTCCATTTCCAAGCCTCCTGCTACATATATCTTTCCATCCACAACATTAACAGCTGGGTGAGACCGCTTCATCCGCATCCTCGGAGCCTCGTGCCGCGTATGAGACCTGCAGTCTACAATTGAGACGCTAGACGAGGGTGCATTCTCATTGCATCTGCTAAAGATATAGATATTAGAACCAACTGTCACGAGACGGTTAGAGTTCACAGGAGGTGAACTGGGAACTGGGACTGGAACCAAAGCATACACACTTGACTTATTGGTTAGGGTTTGATTAGGTTTCCGGCAGAGAGTGAACCAACGTTGGTTAGGGTCAGATGAGAACTCTAAGCACACATAAAGACAACTCTCTTTGTGGTTTAAGAGAGACCGAGTCTTGTAAAGCTCTGGTGAAGCAATGAGGGATCGACAGCTCTTGGAGACTAAAGAGAGAGTGGTCGGGTAGTATAATCTCGATACACGTGCGAAGCAAGTTAATACCAAATCATAGGGAAGTGATGGATTTGAAGTCAGTTCTGGAGATTGTTTCTTCGTCTTCTTCTTTGCGGATGCCATAGAGACGAAACAGGCGTTGATCAAACCTTTTAATATCTTCTACTTCTTCTTCTCCGACTTGTAGCCAGCATATTTAGGAGAGAATCTAGGGATTTGACTCGATCTATTTTATTTTTTTTTGACTGTTAGAGTTATCTAGTTTTTTTACATTTTTTTATAAGAATTCATTCGTATAATATTATATCATTTATCTTATTCAGACCAAACCAGGTAGAGATGTCCTATAAAGTTGTTGGTTCAAAGGTGCAGTTATGTAATGCAAACTTCACCTTTCCATCTTCTCTATATAGCTTTCCAAGTATCTCTGCCATTTTGTTTTGTGACTAGTTTGCTCAGTTCTTCAGATATTACAACAAAGCTTTTACAATAGAGCGTCTCAACATCTCTCTACCTATTCATGTATGATTAGTTTTGCTAAGCTCTAACTGCAGAATCGTTCATCATCAGGTCTTTTGAATATATTCAGCCAAAACAATGTTTCATTGGCCTTAAAGCGGCACAAAATAATCTAACCATCAAAAGATTTAAAAGCAGAGCGCTAAAGAAACGCAAGACACAATCATCGAACAAAATGATATACTGTATATAATACCCACAAATCACTAAAGATTCACCATTTTACCTCAATGTCTCGTATAACATTTATCAAAGAGTAGCAGCAAGAACACCCACAAAGCTGTAAGAGCTAGGAACTGTAAGCATATCATCAAACCACTCGACCTTCCCCCTAATATCCTGATCCCTGCATCTTCCAAGGGAAATCATCGCACACGAAATCGTGTGACACTCATATCCTCTAGAAGGGAAATACTTATCCCACAAAACCACCATCTTCCCACCACAATCCGCCAACTTAACACAACAACTAGCAAGCTTAGACAATCCTTTCAAACCCTTCAAACTCCTCCAGAACCTTTTCTCTGAATCGTACCATTTGATTCCGCCTGGACGATAACAATAGAGTATGTTATCTATAACGCAATAAGAACGATAAAACACTCCTAAATCCATATTCTGATGCTCTCCTATAGCTCCCCATCTATCTTCTTTTGGCTTATAAGCCACAACCTTATTATCCCCAAAAAAGTAGATTTCTCCATCAATCACTGCGCTAGTGTATATATTACTACATCTCTTATCTACAGGGCTCAACACAGGCTCCCAAGTTTGAGTCTTTATATCGAAAACCTCCATCCAATTGGATGAACTGGAGTCTTCCAAGCTTCCTGTTACATAAATCTTCCCATCAACAACATTAGCAACTGGATAATACCGCTCTGTCCTCATGCTTGGAGCCTCGTGCCAAGTATGAAATTTGCAATCCAGGATTGAGACACTAGACGAAGGTGCATTCTCAATAGATCCACCAATGGCATAGATATTAGAACCAACCGTGACGAGAGCCCTGTAATCCACAGGAGGTGAATTGTGAATCGGGATTGGTACCAAAACGTATCCACTTGAGTTCTCTGTTTTCTGGGTTTGATTAGGTCTTCTGTAGAGAGTGAACCAACGAGGGTTAGAGTCAGGAGGGAACTCTAAACACACATAGAGACAACTTTCCGTGTGGTTCAAGAAAGATCGAGTCTTGTAAAGATCCGGTGAAGTAACGAGGGTTCGACAGGTTTTGGAGACTAAGGAGAGAGTCGGGTAGTATAATCTTGATACGCGTGCGAAGCAACTCAATAGCAAATCATAAGGAAGTGATGGATTTGGAGTTGGTTCCGACGGCGGCGACTTCCTCTTCCCCTTCGACGAGGACATTTTCGCCGGAAAATTCTACTTCTTCGCCGACATGGAACAGGTTTAGGTTTTTTTTAATACGTAATAAAAGTTCTCGAGCGCGTGCACTTTACTTGCTTGGATTGCTCAACGGAACATGACGGATTAGTTTATTAATGGGCTTAGTATAAAAATGTTGATGGGCCTGAAACTAATTAATTTTTATCCTAATTGTTTTGTCGCCTAATGTTGGACAAACTATTTATTTGAATAAACAAACTTCATAAGTGATTCTGCTGTGTCTAACTGCTAAGTTCATGTCAAGGTGGATCTTTGATTAATGTAGTTTCTCTTGGTTAGAAAATTTAATATTTCGTAAGTATGAATAAAAGTTATAAGCATTTTGCTTTTGACTGTAGTTTCGCTAATCACAGAGGCCTAATCATCTCACTGAATCAATTATAAGTCCAATTTTTTTTAGTTAATAGAAGAGCCAAACAAGAAAAAGACTAAGTTCATATACATGAGAAACCCCTTGAGAAATAATGCATTGCTCTTTTTGAGTTTGGAAAATTAGTGCAAAAGCATGTCAATCGCAGTACGTTGACAACACAAAACATTCATTCCAAAGTGACATACTAAAAAGAAAGAAAACGTTCGATATAAACCTGATTCATTATTACATTCAAACCTGTCAAACAGTAGCAGATTCGGCACATATGAATGTATAAGACTTAGGGACGGTAAGAACCGCATCGAACCACTCAACCTCCCCCCAAATCTCTTTATCGTTGCGTTTCTGAAGCGAAATCTCTGCACACCAAATCATCTTCTCCTTATACCCACTTGAATCCAAATACTTGTCCCACAAAACAACCAACTTACCACCATAATCCGCTAACTTAACAGTACTAGAATTGTCAATCTTAGGAAGCCCTTCTAAACCCTCTAATGCTCTCCAAATTCCTCCCTTACGGTTGAGTTTTCTCCATACAAACCCCCAGCAACCATAAGAAAAGACTATGTTACCTATCGTACAAAAGGAAACATCATTATGCAATGTTGTAAACAATTCCCATGTGGAAACCTTTGGCTTAAAAGCCACAGTCCTAAAAAAACAAAAAACAAATCAGACACTTAAAAAACAAATCAGCCACCATGATCAGTAGAGAACCCCTTAATAAAAAGTTAATAAAAATCTGAGGTAGAAAGTAAAAAAAGAGAGAGCAAACAATGGGATGTTTGGTCTTTTATTGTATTGTATCATTGAACCTAGACTGTTTGTGAAAGAATTCATCTTTCACATAGTTTTGTGTGTGTGTTTGGATTAAGATTCTCGAGTCAAGAAATATAAAGGTCACGACTCACAAGTATGTTGCAAAAGGTTAATGAAGCAAAAATGCACTTCAAAGTTTGATGAGGTTTTAACACTAACGTTAGCGAGCACGATGGGTGCACAACTCAATTTTTATTGAGGCATGTGTTTCAAGCCGTAGATCGTCTCTCATCGCTTCAAGAAGTGACACCAACCAACTTCAAAGACAGGTTGTTTCTGACAATTTTATGCAAAAAATTGTATGTATAAAAGTTTTTTTTTGTAAATTGAATAAAATTTTACATTTTTAAAAAAAGGTTACTGAAGTTGGTGATTCGTTTACAATAAGAGGGTCTTTAAAAAACAAGATAATGTATGTATGAGCTTTTATAAACAAAAGGAAATATACAGTAAAACCTCTATAAATTAATACTCGATAAATTAATAATCTCTATAAATTAATAAATTTTTCCGGTCCCAAGTTGGGACCAGTGTAATTTTAGACACATTTCGATAAAATAATAAGATAATATTTTTTTTGAAAATTCTTTGTAAATATATGGTCCCATCAATATTATAAATTAATAATTAGGTAAAATTTTCAAAATATATGTATATATAGACACCTTATTTTTTGTTAGGGTTTATTTCTAATATTTTACTATATAAAAAATTGTTAGAATTCTCTTTCAAGACATAATAATTATTATTTTCTTTGTTAATAATTATATAAAATACTAATTATCATGATTAAATCTTATTTTTAAATATTGTTTTGAAAACACTTTCCAAATTAGGAAAATCTCTCTATAAATTAATAATTATTAATTTATCGATAAATTAAAACCTTTATAAATTAATAGATTTTCATGGTCCCAACATTATTAATTTATAGAGGTTTTACTGTATAGTCTTTTGAATTTTTCAAGTGACCCTATTGAGAAAGAAATCAATGTAATAATATTTTGCAAGAAAAAAAAAACTATTCAACAAAAATTTATCTAAAAAACAAAATTCTATCTTTTGTAGGGTCAAAATATAAAATAAAATCTTTTTGTTTCCAAAAAAATAATATTAATTTGGAGGCCCATCAAGACTCAAATACAAAATGACTAGGCCAAGAGAGATTAGTGGATGCTTCTCATGCGCAACCACAAAGCATGTAAATCTCACGCGCTCTAGATTTTGTTGTTCTCTGTAGATATCATCACCAGTCACCAGCGATGTCGTCCCTAACGAAGAAGAGGAAGTCTCCGACAACGAAGACGAAGACACAGTCTCTTACGGTTAGTGAGCATCTCGAGAAACCGTCTCTTCCATATGATCTGGTCGTGAGCATCTTAGCCCGTGTCTCGAGATCGTATTACACAAATCTCTCCTTAGTCTCCAAAAGCTTCAGATCGATCCTTGCTTCACCAGAGCTTTACCAAACCCGAAACCTCTTAGGTCGAACAGAGACTTTTCTCTATGTTTGCTTACGCTTCCCTGATGAAGCTAACCCTCGCTGGTTCACTCTCTACCGGAAGAAACCTAATCAAACCCTAACCAAGAAGAAGAAGAAGACGAAGAGAGAGGATTCAAGTGTTTATCTTTTGGCTCCAACGCAGATTCTTGACTCTCCTCATGAGGAATGGTCAAGTCTTATCGCTGTTGGTTCTTATCTTTACGCCATTACTGCAGCCATTCACGATTCTCCATGCTCTAACGTTTGGTTCCTTGACTGTCGAACTAACACTTGGCTTGAAGCTCCAAGAACGAGACTGGCTCACACCAATAGTGGCTTTGATGGGAAAATGTATTTGGCAGGTAGCTCTGAGAGTCCAGGTTCTTTGAACTGTGTTGAGGTGTACAACACAGAGACTCAAGCTTGGAATCCAGTACCGTCCAGAAAACGAATATTCGAATACGAAAACATGGAAGGAAAGATTTACTTGAACCTTACTCTAGATGCTACTAATACTAAGGAGGATGTGGCTTTAAAGCCAAAGGTTTGGACATGGGAAACGGTAGGATTGGATACTCAGTTGGGTTCTGTTTGTATGATAGATAACATAGCCTTTCATTACGACCCTCGTGTAAAGTTTATATGGAAGAAAAATAAATCTGAGGGAGGAGGGATTTGGAGAAGATTAAAAGGTTTAGAAGGGCTACCTAAGTTTGCTAATTACAGTACTGTTAAGTTAGCGGATTATGGTGGTAAGCTGGTTGTTTTGTGGGACAAGTATTTGGCTTCAAGTGGGTATAAGGAGAAGATGATTTGGTGTGCAGAGATTTCACTTGACAAACGCAACACTGAAGAGATTTGGGGGAAGGTTGAGTGGTTCGATGCGGTTCTTACAGTCCCTAAGTCTTATAAGTTCGTGTGTGCCAAATCTGCTACTGTTTGACAGGTTTGAATGTAATAGTGAATCTGGTTGTCTCGCTTTCTTTCTTTTCTTGAATGTCACTTTGGGATGAATGTTTTTTGTTTTAAGCGTAAAGAATGATTGACATTGTTTTTTCTTAGAATTAATATATGCATTCACTTGCTTGTGGTAGTGTAGATGATTAAGTGTATGTTGGGACTTATCTGCTACTGTTTGAACTTTGATGAATGTGAGTCACATTATGTGACTCATTAGACGTTTTTGTTTTGATCATTATAAAGTCTTGATTGAGTTACATAATGCATTGTTAGAGCACACTTTCTATAGTTTGTTCTCCCACACAATGGTTGCATCTCATCCCGGTGAGAAGTGTTTAGACGTAATGTATGCAAGAGTTCCTTTTCTTATTTGTTGGAGAGATTATCAAAACGATATCGCTATTCATGACATGTACTTATTCTCCAATTCTTAACAAAAATTTAGGGTTTTGATTTGCTTTGACTTCACTAAACAACTCATTTGATTTCCATTGAGTTTTTAACGGGGGAAAATGTCATTTAAATCACGAACTTTCATTTGTTTGGCCATTTAAATCACGAACTTTCTATGTGGCCATTCAAAATTTAGGTTTTGGAGAAGATTAGAGGGTTTAGAAGGGTTACCTAAGTTTGCTAATTACAGTACTGTTAAGTTAGTGGATTATGTTGGTAAGCTGGTTGTTTTGTGGGACAAGTATTTGGCTTCAAGTGGGTATAAGGAGAAGATGATTTGGTGTGCAGAAATTTCACTTGACAAACGCAATGTTGAAGTGATTCGGGGGAAGGTTGTGTGGTTCGATGCGGTTCTTACAGTCCCTAAGTCTTATAAGTTCAGGTGTGCCAAATCTGCTACTGTTTGACTGGTTTGAATGTAATAGTGAATCTGGTTGTCTCGCTTTCTTTCTGTTTTGTATGTCACTTTGGGATGTATGCTTTTTTGTTTTAAGAGTAAAGAATGATTGACATGTTTTTGCTTATATGTATCATCTAAACTCACTTGCTTTGTCAGATGATTTCAGCTTATTAATTAGTGTTATTTTTGGAACTTCTCTGCCTCTTTTGATATTTTGTTGACAAAGTCTTTATGCTACTGTCTGATGAATGTGACTCATGAGACGTAGTCTAATAGAAATTGTCTATATAGCATTAAGAACATTTGAATATGTGCTGAATGATATACTATAATACCCACAAATCACTACATATTCAACACACACACTACAAGAAAACAAGGTTGTAACCGACGGGCTTACCGACGAAAATACTTCCGTCGGTAATTACTAACGGATTACCGACGGAAAAAGCGGCCGTCGGTAATTCGTCGGTTATTAAGCGAGGATCACATTCCGTCAATAATCCGTCGGTAATCTATCCATATTACCGACGGATTACCGATGCCAATGAGTACGTCAGTAATCCACCAGTTTTACCGACGGATAACTGACGGAATGTTACCGTTTTTATAATTTGTCGGAAATTCGTCGGTAAATAGATACGTTAATATAGCCGTTTTATAGCCGTTTAAATTATCAGAATAACCGACGGATTATTGACGGATTATTGACGGAAACGTGGTTTATTTTCCCTTTACATAGCCAAGCCACTCATTCTTACCATCTCACTTCTTATTCTTATCTCTCCCAAATAAGTTCTTCTTCTCGTTCATCGGGTTACTCATATGGTCCCATTCAAAAGTTCCAACAAGCTATGAAAGACAAAGATGAGCGGATTGCGAATTTGGAGAAGCAAATGCAAGAACAATTAGCAGAGAACAAGAAGAGAGACGAGGACCTAGCAGCATTCATGAACGAGATGCGATCGAAGATGTCGTCTTCTTAGATTTTTATAAATTTCAGTATTTTCAATAATAAATTTTTAGGTTTTCAAACAATTTAGTGTTTTCAGTTTTAAAAATATTTACTAAAAATTCTGAATTTAGAAATTTAAATATTTATGCATTTTTAATAATTAATTTGGATTTTAAAAATAAATGATTTAGCTAAATTATTTACCAAAATAATTTTTTAAAATAAAATCTTAATTATCCGTCGGAAATCCGTCGGTTAAGACGGAGAATATTTTTCGAGATTCCGTCGGTAAACCGTCGGTTAAGACGGAGAATGTCGGACCTTCGTTTTCGAGATTCCGTCGGTTATGACGGAAAATATTTTTCGAGTGTCCGTCGGTAATCCGTCGGTTACGACGGAGATTATTGGATTTTGGTTTTTGAGATGCCGTCGGTAAAATTCAAAATGTATTGACGGATTACCGACGGAAAACTGATGCCAAGGTCCGTTGGTAATCCGTTGGTTTATTGGCCGTCGGAAATCCGTCGGTAATTACTGATGAATTACCGACGGATTATTTTTACCGACACTCTAGAACCGACGGACGTTTCCGTTAATAATCCGTCGGAAAAGACTGTTTCCGACGGATTACAGACGGATATGACCGTCGGTTTGAAGTTGTTTTCTTGTAGTGACACAAATCTGATTTATATGGCATTCATCAATGAGTAGCAACAATAGCTACTTGAAAAATAGTGCATTGCTCTTTTGAAATTTGGTTCGACCTTAACAAACCACAATTATCATCCAATAATAAAAACTGGTATAGTATACCACATTCAAGTCTCTCTTAATTATGGCATCAAAGAGTAACAGAAACAGCAAACCACTCGACCTTTCCCCAAATCCATAAGAAAAAGGAACTGCAAGCACAGCATCAAACCACTCGACCTTTCCCCAAATCTCCGGAGTGTTGTGCCTTTCAATGGAAATCACTGCACACCAAATCGACGCATTCTTGTACTCATTACAAGGCTTACACTTGTCCCATAAAACTACCATCTTTCCACCATAATTCACCAACTTAATATAACTAGAAATAGCAAACTTAGGCAATTCTTCCAACCCTTTCAAATTAATCTATTTTTGTGTATTAAAGTCGAACCAATTGATTCGACCTCCATGATAACTATAGAGTACGTTGTCTATAACGCAATAAGAAAGAAAATCCCATCCTGACTCCAACTCCCACTTGCTTACATCTCCCCATTTATCTTCTTTTGGCTTGTAAGACACACCTATAGCATTCGGCTTAACCATGTATATTTCTCCTTCAATCGCTGCGCTCCGGTATGGTAGATTAATTCTCTTTGATAAAGGGCACCAAACAGGCTCCCAAGATTGAGTATTTGGATCAAAAACCTCCATCCAACTTGAGGAATCAGATGAATAGAAATCTTTCATTTCCAAGCCTCCTGCTACATATATCTTTCCATCAACAACGTTAACAGTTGGATAATTCCGCTTCATCCTCATGCATGGAGCCTCACGCCACATGTGAGATCGACAGTCTAGAATCGATACGCTAGACGAAGATGCATGGAAAATGTAGATATCAGAACCAACCGCCACGAGACTATTGTACTTGACTTCTCTTTCTTGGTTCCATGGAGGCGGATGGTGAATTTGGAATCGGACCAAAGCGTATCCACTTGAATTTGTAGTCTTCTTCTTAGCTAGGGTTTGATTTGGTTTACGGCAGGGAGTGAACCAATAACGATTAGGGTCAGGAGGGAACTTTAAGCACACGTAGAGACAATTCTCCTTGCGGTTCAAGAAAGATCGAGTCTTGTAAAGCTCCGGTGAAACAACTAGGGTTTGAAAGCTTTTAGAGACTAAGGAAAGAGTCGGGTAATACAATCTTGATACACGTGCAAAGCAAGTCAATAGCAAATCATTGGGAAGTGATGGATTTGGGGCCGAAGATTTAATCTGCTTATTTGTGGCCGACGTTGGGGAGATCCTCATCCATGATCTACTTCTTCTCCTTCTTGCAGCGAACAAATTTAGGGTTTTTATTTGGCTTAACTAAAAAATATAATTTTGATATTTTTCTTTATTTTTGTTGTAGCCTAATTTTTGGGAAAAAAAAAGAAGAAGGGTTGTTATTTGGATTATTCGATCTCCGCTCAGATTTTAAGGGTGTGTTGGCAAACTAGTACATTTTTAAAACATAATTATAAAGATAGTACATTTACTATTCACAATTAGCAAAATAGTACAATTTTACTATTTCAGATATCTGTACATACACACAACTGTACAGTAACATATTATTGTACATCAAATATTTGTACAAAGAGAAACAACTACATATAAACGTATTTACATATAAACAAATATACATATATAGACCAGAAAATATCTGTACATATACAATTATACGTATATATAGACCGCTGTACGAATGATTTTCCGTATATCGACACACAACTGTAAATAAGAATGCTGGACGTATCAAAATTTGTTTGAAAAATATTTGAAATTATTTTTTTAAAAATGCATATCAAATTATATAAAAAAAATATAGATTTTTATGTAGTTGAAATTTTATAGAAAACAAATATATTTTGATGAATATTTTTAGTTATTAGATTTAAGGGGGTTTTTAATAGTGTCTAAATAGTGTCCAAATAGTAAAAATGTATTAGTTTGCTAATAATGAATAGTAAATGTACTACTTCTACAATTATATTTCAAAAATGTAATAAAAACCCAATTAATCCAGATTTTAATGGGCCTCGAAAATATAATTTTGATTTTATTACTTGTGGCCTAGTTTTTGAACAAATAAAATGGACAAACAATCTTCTTTTTTACAACTAGGAGATCACTAGAACAAGTTTCCCGGTAAGACTGCAACTTAATTAAACATTAATCCCTCTGATCTCATTACATTTTTCATAATTCCAGACTTGTTTGTTTAAAAGAGAACAAACATACTATATAAGTAAACACATATATTCAACTAAAACTGCGTTTCAAAGCACTAAATAAACGAACCCTAACACAATTCTTTTTTTTTTTACCCTAACACAATTCAAAATATGCACAAAACAGTTTTTGAATTGTGTTAGGGTTGAACTGTGTTAAAAACCCTAACACAATTCAAAAAGTGTTCCGTGCATATTTCTAGGATCATTAATTCAAAACCTACAAAATGCCCTAACCATTTTCTTCCTTATATAAACCAATCAGAACCCTTAAAATAAACCATGTAACGAAAGAAACAAGTGAAGTCTTGCATTCATATACTTCACGGGTATTCACGGGGAAAGTTTCATCTTTTAATGTATTTTATGATTGACACTTACTTCTCATAGTTTTGTGTATATGTGTGTTTGGATTAGGGTTCTCGAGTCAAAAAAAATATAGGCCATAACTCACGAGTGTTGCATAAGAGGGTTTAAAAAAAAACAAGATTAGTATGAGCTTTCTAGAAAGAAAATATTTATATATATTTATTTCTGAAATTTTCAAATGACCCTATTGAGAAAGAAATCCATATTGTATTATGTTTTTTTTTTGGGTGGAGATTCAATAAAAAATTATCTACAAAAAGTATTTTTTTGTGTATGTGTGTTTGGATTAGGGTTCTCGAGTCAAGAATATTACATAAGGTTATTTGAAGTTGGTGACTCTGTTATACAACAAACAAGCAAATCTTAGCTTAACATTTGTTAAGAAAGAGTATAAGAGACACTCTTAACAAATCTTAAGCTAAAGATTTGCTTAAAAGACTATTGATAATGGTGCCCTTGAGATTTCTAGAAAAAAAATATTTATATATATATATATATATATATATATATATATATATATTTATTTATTTATGAAATTTTCAAGTGACCCTATTGAGAAAGAAATCCATGTTGAACAGTATTATGTTTTTTTTTTCTGGGTGCAGATTCAATAAAAGTTTATATAAGAAAATGATTTTTTTTGTCAAATTTAAACTAAATTATATTTGTTTCAATAATATTTGGTCAAATTTAAAAGAAATAATATTTGTTTCCAAAAAAAATAATTTTGGTCAAAGCTAAAGTAAATTTTATTTTTTTCCATAAAAAATAGTTTATGGTCAAATTTAAAATAAATTATATTTGTTTCCAAAAAATAATATTTGGAGGCCATTGAAGATTCAAATACAAATGATTAGACCAAGATTAATTTGTCCAGTTTCATACCACCGGCGATTTCGTTTCCAAAAAAAAACACATTTGGTCAAATTTAAAATAAATTATATTTGTTTCCATAAAATAATTTTTTGAGGCCCATTAAGATTCAATCTTCATGTTCTGTAGATGCTTCTCATGCACAACCACATGTAACTTTCATCACCACCGATTTCGTCTCAGCTATGTCATCGTCCCTAACGAAGAAGAGGAAGTGGCCGACGACAACGAAGACGAAGAAACGTAGTGAGCATCTCGAGAGACCGTCGCTTCCATATGATCTGGTCGTGAGCATCTTAGCCCGCGTCTCGAGATCGTATTACACAAAGCTCTCCTTAGTCTCCAAAAGCTTCAGATCTATCCTCACTTCACCGGAGCTTTACCAAACCCGAACCCTCTTAGGTAGAACGGAGACTTTTCTCTATGTGTGCTTACGCTTCCCTAATGAAGCTAACCCTCGCTGGTTCACCCTCTACCGCAAGAAACCTAATCAAACCCTAACCAAGAAGAAGAAGAAGAAGACGAAGAGAGAGGATTCAAGTGCGCATGTTTTGGCTCCAACGCCAGTTCTCAACTCTCCTGATGAGGAATGGTCAAGTATTGTCGCTGTTGGTTCTTATCTTTACGCCATTACCGCAGCCATCAAAGATTCTCCATGCTCTAACGTTTGGTTCCTCGACTGTCGAACTCACACTTGGCTTGAAGCTCCAAGAATGCGACTGGCTCACACCAATACTGACTTTGATGGGAAAATGTATTTGGCAGGAAGCTCTGAAAGTCCAGATTCTTTGAACTGTGTTGAAGTGTACAACACCGAGACTCAAGCTTGGAACACCGTGCCGTCCAGAAAACGAATAATGGAATTCCAAAATATGGAAGGAAAGATTTACATGATCCCTGGTGTAGATTCTACTGCTACTAATAGGGAAATGGCTTTAAAGCCAAAGGGTTTGTTATGGGAACTGGTAGGTTTGGTTACTCAATTGGGTTCTGTTTGTGTGATAGATAACGTAGCCTTTTATTATGACCCTCGTGTAAAGTGTATATTGGGTGCACATGAAGATGACGGAGCAGTTTGGAGAAGAGTAGAGGGTTTAGAAGGGCTACCTAAGATTGCTAATTACAGTACTATTAAGTTAGTGGATTATGGTGGTAAGCTGGTTGTTTTGTGGGACAAGTATGTGCCTTCAAGTGGGTATAAGGAGAAGATGATTTGGTGTGCAGAGATTTCGCTTGAGAAACGCAACGATGAAGAGATTTGGGGGAAGCTTGAGTGGTTCGATGCGGTTCTTACAGTCCCTAAGTCTTATAAGTTGGTGTGTGCCAAATCTGCTACTCTTTGACAGGTTTGAATGTAATAGTGAATCTTGTTGTGTGTCGCTTTCTTTTCTCTTTTGTTTGTAACTTTGGGATTAATGTTTTGTGGTTTTAGCGTAATGTGCTTGACATCTACACTCACTTGCTTTGTCAGATGATTTCAGCTTATCTATTGTTATTTGATAATCCTATTGTTCAAGAAAGCGCTAGGCGGTATTTATAATCCTCTTTGATAATCATAATCCCTTTGATGACAAATGCTTGATGAATGTGACTCATGAAACGTTTTCACCAACGAAATGATATGTCTAATAGTCATTCTCTATATAGCATTTAAAAATGTGCTGAATGATATAATATAGTTAACACCCACAAATCACTAAAGATTCAACACATATAAATGTCTCGTATAGCATTCATCAAAGGGTAGTAGCAACAGCACTCACAAAATTATAAGAGCTAGGGACAGTGAGCAAATCATCATCACACCACTCGACCTTTCCCCGAATATGATCATTTTCGCATCTTTCAAAGGAAACAGCCGCACACGAAATCTTATGACTCTCATAGCCACTATAAGGCAAATCCTTGTCCCACAGAATCGCCATCTTACCACCATAATCAACCAATTTAACACGAGAACTAAGAAACCTACGCGAACGCAATCTTATATAAGATACTTTCCTTTGTTAGTTTTGTCTCTAAGATACCATTGATGAGGTTGGTCTAACCTTGCAATTTCCTCCAGAATCTTAACCTTAAGTGGTACCATTTTGCGTTTAAAGGGGTTTGGTTTACTCACGCAACTCCGAAGTATACATTTTGCGTTTGGCTTGCTGTTCATGACCGGTTATCGACCGGTGATCGTATGACGCAGTGGAATAGGGGAGCTTCGGGTTCCTGTGTGCTATGTAATAACACTATGGAAACACGAGACCACCTCTTTTTCACTTGTCCTTTCTCTAAGGCGGTATGGGAACCACTTGCGAAGGGCATATTCAAGACCAAATACACAACGGTTTGGTCTCAGCTCCTTAACACTATCTCGACGCAACAGCTCACCCGGATAGAAAGCTTTCTGACCCCATATATCCTTCAAGCCACAGTCCACACGCTATGGCGGGAACGGAACGACCGCAGACACGGCAACCAGCAGCACACTACAGCAAATTTAATTACGTGGATAGACCACCAAGTTAGAGACCAATGCTCCATGATTCGGTGATTGGGAGACCATCGATATGACGGCAGCTTCCAAGCTTGGCTTCACTCCCGACGAAACCCTTAACGATTTCTTTGACCTCTCTTTTTCATTTCAACCAATCTTTCTACCCTCAGTTTTTAAAAGTTGTCTAGATCCCTCGTAGCACTAGTTGTAAAACCGAACCATTTTTCTTTTGAGTATAATTTAACATTAAAGTCAAAAAAAAAAAAAATAAGTGGTACCATTTCATTCCACTTGGAGTATAACCTAACTTCATATGCTGATACTCTTCTTTAGCTCCCCATTTTTTTGGATAGTAAGCCACAAACTTATCCCCATCCAAGTGTATTTCTCCTTCAGTCACTACTTAATTTCATGAAAGAATCAAACTGAGGAGGAGGTGAGTTGGGAATTGGGACCAAAACATATCCAGTTGAGTGCTTTTGTTAGGGTTTGATTAGGTTTTCGGCAGAGACTAAACCAACGTTGTTGTTTAGGGTCAGGAGGGAACTCGAAGCACACATGGAGACAACTATCTGTCCGTTTTAACAATGAACGAGTCTTGTAAAGCTCCGGTGAAGCAACTAGGGTTCGACAGCTCTTGGAGACTAAAGAGAGAGTCGGTAGTACAATCTTGATACGCGTGCGAAGCAAGTCAGTAGCAAATCGTAGGGAAGTGATGGATTTGAGGTTGATTCTGACGTCGGCGACTTACTCTTCTTCTTTGAGGATGACATAGTGGGGACTCGGGACGAAATACAAATTTAGGGTTTTGATTTTGACTTCAATAGTATAATTCTCGAGATTTGTCGTGAGATGCTTCCAACATGGAGGACTATAGCTTAATAGTGGGCTTAGTAAAGAAATATGTGGGCTGATGAAAATCATTTCCATTGAATCTTAATGAGCCTCAAAATAATAGTTTATTTTTGCTAATTTCATGCGCATAAGCATAACACAAAGCTAAATGAAGTGATGATATATTTTTTCTAAGATTAGATCAATAGAGAAAGGTGAATCTTTGATTAATGTAGTTTATGTCGATTGCAAAGTTTAATATTTCAGAACTATGAATAAAAGCTATGAGTGCTACGATTTAGCCAAATCTTAGCCTAAGATACCACCGATAATGGTGACAAAGCTCAATGGACTGTACAATAGATAATTAGGTACAAACTGTGTATCTTGTGAATGCAAAGAGAACTGTATTCTTCTATGCAACACAAACAAAAGTAATCTTTCAGAGACAAAGTAAAGCTTAATGAGTCTACAAGTGAGTGCATATATCTAGACGTGAACCAATGTCTGCTAAAAGCACAAGACAAGACAAGGATTCATCATAGTAGTCGCATATACAAACGTTCTGCAACACAATTAAAACAAAAGAGTCACATTCAAACAGTTGCAGAGTCGTCCCAAAATAAACTTAATTCATTTACACTACAACAAGCAAGTGAATGCAAATATCAATTCTAAAGCAAAAACAATGTCATTTTCTTCGGCTTACCTGTCAAACAGTAGCGGATATAGCACACACGAATGTATAAGACTCAGGGAATGTAAGAACCGCATCGTGGCACTCAACTTTCCCCCAAATCTCTTCAGTGTTGCGTTTTTCAAGTGAAATCTCTGCACAACAAATCGTCTTCTTCTTATACCAAAATCTCTGCACATAACTGTGCCACAAAACAACCAGCTAAAGAATCCTCTTTCTTCGTCTTCTTCTTCTTCTTCTTCTTGGTTAGGGTTTGATTAGGTTTCTTGCGGTAGAGGGTGAACCAGCGAGGGTTAGCTTCATCAGGGAAGCGTAAGCAAACATAGAGAAAAGTCTCTGTTCGACCTAAGAGGGTTCGAGTTTGGTATAGCTCCGGTGAAGCGAGGATAGATCTGAAGCTTTTGGAGACTAAGGAGAGCTTTGTGTGATACGATCTCGAGACACGGGCTAAGATGCTCACTATCAAATCATCCGGAAGCGACGGCGTAAGCGACCGTTCCTTCGTCTTCGTTTTCGGCTTCCATCGCCAAAACATTGTCGGTAAGAATCAGATCTTAGTTGTGGTTGGAGTTGTTTCTGGTCTATCGGAGTTTTCGTTCGGCGGATGGTGAATTAAATGTCGGAGCTTGAGGACGGCGCCAGATCTTTTCCTCTTTCCCCTTCGATTTGTTTCTCCGGCGTAAAGCTTGGGATCTGATTTGATTTTGTCTTCGCCTGCGGCTCTTTGTGGTGGCGAGTGGCGGGTCTCTGGTTCAGAGCTTTTCACGGCGGCCGCAAAGTTGTTTTTTTTTTTTACTTTTTGGTTTTAGTGTGAACGAACTGTGAAGTAAAGTTTAATTCACTTTTAGCCGTTTTTTTTTTACCAAGGCCTGGGATTAATAACCGAATCAAACCGATATTTTTGGAGTTCAGTTCAATTTTGGTTATTGCTGCTGAACCAATCGGTCCAAGAAAATTCCGATTTTGTTGGTTCGGTTATCGAGTAAGCGATTTTTTTTTTTAAACTACATAACCAAAATTTATCTCCTAAAAGAACTGAATTACTCAAAATAAACAAATCTGAAATTAACGAAATATTTGGATTAAACCCAAAACTCAGAAATTATCTCTAAATAACCAAAAACCCGGATTTTTTTTTATAAACTAGTCTTCTACAAGTAAACGCAAACAATGCCAAACTAAATTTAGCAATGTAAAACTCCATTAACTAATACCGAAATTCATGTTTTATTATTCAATTAAAGAACTTTCTTCTACAAAGAATGATAAACTAGTAAGAGTATATAATATAACACAAAGGAACATTATAAAAGGAGACACGATCAGTCTTACTTCTCATTACCAATTGAAATTTTATTATAACCTTTTTGAAAAGAAAGACATAAGAACGTTGAGAAAAGAGCATAAAGACATAGGAACACTCTAAAATCTACACAACAGTGGAAACAGTTTGATCAGCTTTTAGGTCTTCAGATTTCTTGCGCCACAAGCCTCCCCATCTAGTTTTAAATTGCAAAATCTCCATCACAGCCGCAAACAATCCAATGACCCCGATGATGGAACTGTAAGCAATCTTCCATGAGCTTCCAGGTTGCAAGATGGCTAAGCCTTTGTAGATGTTGTATACACTTAGTATAATCACTATATATCCCATAGTGTGATGGTACCAGTTCCAATATTTTCTATACTTGTGATCTTTGTCCGGTCTTGCTTTGAGCGCAAGTATCTGCAAAAACCCTAGAGCAAAAAGGAACATCCCTATGACGGTATGCGGTGTAGCTCTCATTCCCGTGTGTTTTGCCATGTAAATAGCAGTTCCTAGTCCTCCCAATAAACCAACGAAGTAGCCAGTACTTTGAAATACGATGTGTACATAAAACCACATAGGATCCAATCCTTTATACGTCTTCATGTACCTTGCAGCCATGGCTCCAATGGGCATGAAGATCCCCCAACACACCGCGTTCACAATTCCATGGATACGCTTGACTAGTAAAATATCTCCCTTAGCTGCTTCTGTGGCCGTGACTTGTCCAGACAGCAAATCTAAAGTAGCCATGGATTTGAGATGATCTCCACTCATTGCGTGCATCCCAAGTCTATCACCTTCCTTCAATGGACCGTCTTGCCATAGATGATTCACAACGGTTGTGTTAGAAGGCAACACTATAGTAGCAAATATAGTCATCTCTCCATTGAGATATTCAGCGGATAGCTGTGTTACACGAAAGCTGAGAGGACCTTCTTGAAGCTTAGGTGAGTAGTCTTTGATTGAAGAAGTATAAGCACGCATAACACCAGAAGTTGAATTACGATAAGCCATGAGAGTTTGAGCACCTAACATGCCTTTTCTCGTAGGGTTTATACCCCAAGCGATCCAACTAGAAGACTCAATGTTAGTGTGACGATACGCAACTTCAAGAACTCCGGTTTCTCGAACATAACTGAAGTGTAGGAACGAGTCTAGCACCGGAAGGTCAATGCAAGAACGAAAGTGTTTGCCGTTGTTAAAGTTATGAGAGTCACATCTAGCTTGAACTTGATCATCGGGTATTGCTCTAGTACAGCATGGAGCGAGCAAGAACAGAAACCACAAAGCCATAACAACGGTTCTGGCAGACAAAGACATGATGATGATTGCGTTTTTTTTACTCGGAGACACAAGTATGTGTTACGTACAAAGTCAGAGTCTTGCTTTGCTTTGGAAAGAATGAGAATTTAATTTCGAATGTGATTTGTCTATTTATACGAGTAATATAACTAAATACAATTCCAAGTTTTAGTTGAGAATGGTTTTGTTTCTTTTGCAATTAAATTTCCATATTTTTGTAACTTTTCCTCTCTTTTTTTGCCAAAAAATTATGCTCATTATATTTTTTACTTTCAAGTTAGATAAACATTAGATTTTTGTAATCTATTTATTCATCAACGAAGGGGCGGTGAGTGTTTTGTAGAAGAATCCATAATATTCACAAGTTATAATATGAAAATATTACATATTTATTTATGGTTATATAGATATGTACTGGATTTAATTATTTTTAATAACTTAGACATACAGTATTAACCTATAAAACTTATGATTATTATGAGATAATCAGTATAATATTTCTTAAACACTATTATGTTGTTCTTCTCCCATCAATATTTAACATAATTTAACTTAAACTCCTTTGTTGCTTTGGTTTTGTTTCTTTCTGTAGCTATCTTTGATACATATATATTCCGAAATATATATGTTTATATCTAAGTTTACGTTCAGTTTGTTAGATTTTTTTTCACGAACTTGAAAATGTTAAATAACTAATGAAAATTTAAAATTGATCGCAAGTAAAAATGTTTACTTTACATAACATCTACTGATAACATCGTCAAGAATAACTAGAAAATGTTAAATTTTTTTAAATTTTTTAAATTTTTTTTAAACAACTAAACAACTAGTATAGCTGCATGCATGTGATATATGTTCCTAAACCACATAATAAGGAAAACGTGAAAGTTCATTAGATTAGGACTTAGCTTGCATTATCATAAACAAGGTATCACTAATTAAGCAAATTACTAATTACTAATTAAACTTTTTGTTCTTCCAACAGTTTTTAATATGTTTCAGTGGGAATAAAAGAATAATACCCTTTCACAACTATTATATACTATAGTATTATAGAAAGAAAGTCGAATATGTATTTAGCCAGCTAGCTACTACTCGATGGATTTGAACATGTATTTTTTTAATTCAATGCTTGCCTTAGACTTAAATTTCCGAACATGTTGAACCAATCTAAAAAACCTGATTTAAAATTCAAATTTGAAATTCTAAAATATTCGAACGGGTTATAAATCTCAAGATATGAGAACTCAAACCCGAATACATCCCCAATATATATATATATATATATATATATATAGTAATAATATATTAGTAATATTTATATTTATAATAATTTAAAGGTCCAAAATATTTTGATTTTTGTATATTTATGAATTTTGAAAACTAAAATATTTTTTTATTTGGATAAAAAAAAACACGAGGTTTTGAGATAGTTTAGATATTTTGGAGTAGTTTGGACATATTTACATACTATAGTTTTGAGTTTGGACATATTTGGATACTAAAAATACTTAAAGTCTCGAGACTGGTTTTTAAATAAAATTTTCCTTTTGGTTTGAAACATTGTATAAGTGGTATAAAAAATTATAAAAATGGGAATATTATATAGCCTATTTAATAGCTTAATTTTGAAACTATGGTCATGTTCACAATAAAAAAAAGATTCATACACAAACCAATATCTATATATATTTAATTATGTAAAACTTGATTTCAAAGTTAGTAACTAGAAATATATCAAGATATGTGAGTAGCTAAATTTCCAAACCTGTTGAACCGATCTAAAAAACCTGACTTCAAATTCAAATTTGAAATTCTAAAATATTCGAATGGGTTATAAATCTTAAGATCTGAGAATTCAAACCCGAATACATCCACAATATAAATATATTAGTAATACTTATAATAATTTAAAGGTCCAAAATATTTTGATTTTTGTATATTTTTGAATTTGAAAAAACTATTTTTTTATTTGGATTAAAAAAACTCTTGAGGTTTTGAGATAGTTTAGAAATTTTGGAGTAGTTTGGCATATTTGCACACTAAACCAATATCTATATATATCTAATTATGTAAAACTTGATTTCAAAGTTATTTACCAAAAAAAAAACTTGATTTCAAAGTTAGTAACTAGAAATATGTCAAGCCTCCATTAAAATTTTTAAAATATATCATTACAAAATTTTTAGTCAATTACACCTTCAACACATGTATTTGATCAAATAGAGTTGAGATTTATGTTCAGTTTTTTTCCTTCTTTTTATTTAATTTAATAATTTTAATAATGACAATAAAATAGAAAATATCTTACATCAATATACAAAAAAGAGAACCCAATTAATCTCTTTTAACTAAATTTTTTTTTCTGACACAGATATGATAAAGTTTTGTTCCATTTTTTTTGAAAAATTTGATTAATAGATTAATATTTCATTGTAATGAGTATATTCTGTAAAATAATCAATTTCATAAAAAAAAATTACTGAATAAACCATTGAGAAAGTTCAAAATCAAAAGACTTGTTTTTTTTTTTTTTTTATCTATTAAGAGAGTAATTAATATATAATTTTAATAGGAAAACTACAAAAAAAAATTAAGAGATGATGATATATATATATAACTATAGTTTGATTCTACTATACTTCTATAGCCTTTTCACTAAACATGCTACATTTTTTTAGTGGCATCTAACATTGATTTGTTGTTGTAGACTACAACTTGTAGTAAAGGTTTAAACAAGTTGAAACACCTCAAAAGAATCGTGCACTGATATTTCATTGAACCGAACCGACAAGAGAAGAGTCCTAAAAAGGGCAAATTTTGTTTGTTTAAAGGAGCCGGCTTTAAATTTTCTTATCGGAGAACACGAACGTTGACGGGAGAAAGAACCTTTTTTATAATCTTTTTCAAGTCAAATCATTTTCAATCACCACCAAGCTCTCAAATCCGCGGCAAACGTTTAAGGGTCATCTCAAAAAAGCTTCCTTTTTTCCCGGAAAATCATCAATGTCGAGCCTTTTGGTTTCTCGCTTTATCTGGTAAGAAAATTTCAGTTTTTGATATGTTGCCCTGAATTCAATTAATGTCTTACCTTATTTTGTCGTTTGAGGTTTTGTATATTGATGAGAGGGTTTTGGAAACTTTTTTGATTGGATTTTTTTAGCTTATAGAGGCGGAAACCCTAGAAAAGATGAGTCCTACGACGGCGACGGTGGATGATCCTGGACAGATTAAACGTGCCCTTATTGATGCTTCTGCCGGAGCTGTCTCTGGTGGTGTTTCTCGTACCGTTACTTCTCCGCTTGATGTTATTAAGATTAGATTCCAGGTTTGGCTTTTTTTGATTCTCTTGTGTGATAAAGTTTAGCCTTTTATTTTGGTTTCTGCTTTAGCTGAGGAGTATTTGAGTTGCATTGTTGTTGATGTTTTGGATGATCTTTGTATTGAGGTTGACAGGTTGTAGATGAGAATTGTCTATGTTTAGATTTGTAGGTTTTGAAGTTATTAGCTTAATCTGTGGAGGTATGCTTTATGTTGTTTTAAAATGGTTTAAGGAACTTCTCTGTGATGGCAGGTTCAACTAGAACCGACGACTTCATGGGGTTTGGTCCGGGGAAACTTGTCAGGAGCATCTAAGTATACTGGAATGGTACAGGCAACTAAGGATATTTTTAGAGAAGAAGGGTTTCGGGTCAGTCTCTTCAACATTTCCATTGCCTGAAACCATTTCTTCAACAATAGTTTGTTAGTAGTTTCAGGTCTGTGGCATTAGGTTTTATGAGGTCTTGTTCTCTGTTCTGATGTTTGATACTTGTTTTCTTAGGGGTTTTGGCGGGGTAATGTGCCAGCTTTGCTCATGGTTATGCCATATACTTCAATTCAGTTTACAGTACTGCATAAGTTGAAATCTTTTGCATCTGGTTCTACGAAAACAGGTAATGAGTCCACTGAGTAACATTGATGTCTCTTTTGGATATGGTACTTGGTTGATTGTCGTTGTACTCTGGTGGCTATTTTCGTGGTATCATTTCTTGTCACTTGTGAAAGAGAACTCACTTAGGGTTGTTTCTTCAGATTGTGTATGTGTTGAATGAGTGTTTCGTTATAAGCTCTTGTAATGGACTAATAGTTTAGATATCTGTGTTTCCTTACTTATTAGCTGGTTGAAATGTTTGCTATGCAGAGGATCATATACATCTGAGCCCTTATCTATCCTTCGTCAGTGGAGCGTTAGCAGGATGTGCTGCTACATTAGGATCTTATCCTTTTGATCTTCTAAGGACAATATTGGCATCACAAGGGGAGCCTAAGGTTTGTTGCTTGACTTATGACCCCTGTAATATAATTTTCATCTCTTTCTCCTGGGGGATTCCTGTTTTTCTTCTTTATTCATGAGTGAGTGACGTAGATGACTGATTAATGGCTGTCTACAGGTGTATCCAACAATGAGGTCTGCATTTGTCGATATTATTCAGTCTCGAGGCATAAGAGGAATGTATAATGGATTAACACCAACTCTTGTTGAGATTGTGCCTTACGCTGGCCTGCAATTTGGCACGTATGATATGTTTAAGCGTTGGATGATGGTAAGAGCATAGGAATATATCTCTTATGTGTGATGATTCTAATAAAAAAATTCTGTCTTTTTGTTTCTGGCGGCAATCAAGTCATTTTATTTTTTTAACAGGACTGGAATCGATACAATTTATCCTCCAAAACCCCGATCAACGTGGACACCAACCTTTCTAGCTTCCAGCTTTTTGTTTGTGGGCTTGGGGCAGGCACTAGCGCCAAGCTTGTCTGCCATCCACTTGATGTGGTCAAAAAACGATTCCAGGTTAGTTCATCTTACCCAATGGATTCTCTGGAAAGATAATCTGATCGGATCCAAAACTAGTAAATTCCTTCACATCAGTAAGAATAACACATCATAGAGAGTTTATAACGAGAGAATCTGTACTCGACCTATAAATTTCCAATCCCAAACCCTAGACAGAACCTGAAAACCTCAACTTATT